AAAGTTCTTACTTCAAAGCCTACATGTTCATGGTTTAACTGCCTAATACACATTTAAAAAAGCGGTATACAGATACACTCCGGAAATTTTTAGCGCTTGCTTGCCTGTACTGCTGTAGGCATTTCAGGGGAATGTCTCTTAAGCTGAAGCATGTTCTGTTGTAGTGGGCAGCATAGGGTTTGCAAAGTAACTGACTGCTTGCACTCCCCAGGAGAATAGACTTCTGTTCTACCATTTAGAAACATGCTTTTCTTTGGACATAATCAGGTTATTACTCACTGTACTACACCCAAGTTGTTTTTACATGTAGTGAAAAAATAACTTATAGGCAAGCATATTTTAGTTGCCTGTTACTGTACTTCATTAATTATCATCTTTTGGATAAAAAACATAAATACCGTAAAGATTATACATAAATAAGAAGGGTTTTTTCTTTTAGTATTGAACTATCTGTAAGAAGTGATGGATTTAATAGAAGCCATGGTTCGTTCTCCAAGCTTTACCTGATTAATTAGTTTAGAAGAATGCTTTGGTGTTTTTATTTTGGTTTAAGTAGTCTATTGATATAGTCAAGTTATGTGTGAATTGCTTTGGTTGCATGATTTCAGGCAGCAAAGTCCAAATCTGAATTTTCAAAATTTACTGGGAGATTCATTTTGATATTCAGAAAACAGCCATGCCCAAATAAGATATTAAAGTAACCATGTTATTAAATGAAATGCCTGTGTGACCTTTGTAGCCTTGAGTACATGAACCAGGTGGTAACCATTTTCTCTAATGGGCTAATACTGTATGTGACTTTTATCTTGTTCTAAAAAGCAAACAAACTCCACAGATCCATCTATCTTGTGACACTGTGCTGCCCTGGGTATATGGTCATTCTCAGTTTTTTAATTTTTAACTCTGTTATAGCCATGTCCTTCTCATTACTCAACAATATTACTAAACCTGACATCCTTATAAAAGAATTACTCTGTTCCAGGTGTATTTGGCAGTTAAGGAAGTGATGGACATCTCGGGTGCTGTCACAAGCTCCTTGAGTTCTGTTGCTCAGTTACTTCTGCCCAATTCTTTCTCAATTAAATGCTTTTAAATGTGTCCTTTTTTTTTTTTTTTTAAATCAGTGTCTATTTGCCAGGTTTCTTGTTCACTCTTGATTGACCTAGCTCCTCAGTTAGGGTTTTTGCTTCTATAGTTAACTCCTACTCTTAGGGTGTTACTTCTACCTTGTCTCTGGAGTTTTTTTATCCACCTGTTCCTAATCCTGCCTTCAGTTTTATGTCAGGTGTGCCTTCATTTATTCCTCAATTTGATTGCATTTTCCAGGTTTTCTTTTGTCATTTTAGCTGAAAAGAAAGCCCAGTTACTAACCTTCCAGTGTTTCTGGATGGCCCTATCTTTGCTCAGTTAATTCATTATATGTTTTTTCTATATCCCCAAATACATTTAGCTCCAAAAGTGTGAAAGCTAGTCAGCTTTGAAGGAATATTTGTGGGGACATAAAGAGGGAAACTAACTGATGGCTCTGAAGAGTCATGTTTCTGTTGCAAACTATAAGGATCTGTGAAAGAATGGTATACAAAAATTCAATTTACTGTTCAAATTTTGATAAAGTATAATGCACTAGAATAGCAATTAATTGGTAATGTTACTATCCAGAAACAACATAAGAGCTGCCCTATGCTTGAAGTTGGGAAAACCTTGCTGTTGCTTCTAATTGTGTTAAGGAAAAAAAAAAATTGAGTCTTCCATTTAAACTCTTGTTGATAGACTCTAAAATGAAACCAAATTTGGGTACCTTGCTTAAAATAGGAAATTGGATGTTACTACTCTGGATTTCACGTTGTCCTCTAATATTTGTTTGCATGTTTCAATCTAAAGGAGAGCTTGTTGAGGCAGTGGTTTGTCTCATCGAGAGACAAAGTAAAATACTGATAACTTACATCTTAAATGGGTATGTTTGTCTGACTTGAGTAGTGGTCTTTGGAAAGAAATGCTCCAATTTCATCTAATAACTGATTCTGTACCAAAACCCCCTTTACTTCTAAAGCTCCTTTGTTTGGAAACACTCAGTGTGTGTATGCACACATCTATATGCATGTGCACACGCTCTTTGTATCTATCTAGTCATATATATATATATATATATATATATGATATAAGCAAACATGACTTGGGCTTAAGGATATGTGGATAAAAGCATGATATTTGTGGCATTAGAAGAAAATTATGAGCAGCTGGGTAAACAGGAATTTTTTTTCCAGAGTTTGTGACTGCAGGTAGGAGGCTTTTTGTGACAGACAGTGATCTCAGAAGTGGGAGAAAGAGTTTAGAACAAACAGAAACATAAACCCTTCATTTTCCTAATGCTGTGTCATCTCCCTTGTCATGGTGTTGTAGTTGTGATGTCACATACTGTGTTGTCATAATCATGAACTTGGATGAAGAGGTGTAATTAACGTGTTTAGGACTTTGGTCACCTTTAAAACAGTAGTTCTCGATGTTGTTGATTGCATGTTAAGTGAATCTTGTGCTAATCTAAGGCAGACACTGCTTTTGATAGATTTAGGTACGTGCAGTCTAAATGGATCCATATCATAGCTAATGCTTTACTTATGTTAGTAATTGAATAATTTACTTCATGAGATTTATCTATCTGAAAGATGAGAATAAATAATTGTTGCTTTAGAGTGTTTATCTAAAATGACATTTTTATGTAATGTTTTCTTGCAAATACATCTGATCAAAGTGTTTTTGAAGCTCCAGCATGTGTCTTTGTCTGCATTCTTGGTCTTGGTTATTGACGTTTATTTTTGCATTGTCTATAAGGGAGTATGGATGTGTAGCTTTGAAAAAAGCACTATTTGGTATTAGCGTGTATATCTTTAGACTTGGGAGAGATTAGTACTGGAAATTTTCTTTAGGTTTGTTTGGGTTTTTTTCCTGAGTAATGAATAAGCTTTAAAATTACACTTAAAAGACTATTATTAGACTTGTATGTTTAATGCCAGCTTACTTTGCTTGTTTGAAGAAGCTGCTTTCTCTTTTTTGATATAAAAGCACTGCTATCCTTTGAATTACACATTTGAGATTGAACACCTGAAATTTTCTGTACAAATTAGCTATCTTCTGACAAATTATAAGAGAATCTGTGTGAGTGTTAGGGGTACTTGACCTATTTCCTGCATGAGGAAGTTTGATACCTTTTTTTTTTTATTTCAGGCCAGCTTAATGTTGTAGTAATTCTGGTGTTACAGTGGTGTTATGGATGTGTCAGAATTTGGAGGCAGACAGTGTGTTGTCTTAGACCACCTGGTATTGGGCAGCTTTCAGGCAAATGAGCCTTTCAGCCACAAGATGAAGGTTTATTTATTTGAAAGGTGGTGTCTCTTTCCAGTTACACAAGTTGGTCTAATAAAAGATGCTACTTCTGCCAAAGACTTTAAATTTCTTTACCTCATTTAAGGAAACATGCTGTTTTAGTTTGGACTTGTTTGTCTTGGAGAAGAGTTGCAGTAGCCGTAGTTGTTTTTCCTCCTTGTACATTAGTTGTTTGTGTTGCTGACAGCCAGCTGTCATAGATGGCTTGTTTGATGGCTGGTCTGACACACTTTCAGTAGGCAGTGGGAAGGAGTGTGTGACTTCTCGGTTTGCAAAGCCTGTGAAGGTTAATTCCTGCCCTGCCAGCAAACTGTCTGATATTTAAAGGGCAACCTGCTCCTTGTAGTTATAAGAACCTCTTAAAAAGAATCAAGCTATGAACTACTTTTAAACTTTCTGTGTCTAGCATTTCATTTCTATGTTAGCTTTATTTTGCTGTGTAAAAAATGGAAACATTTTTCAATTATTTGGACCCAAAAAAGCCAGATAAAATTTTAAGACTGCCAGTTGAAACAACTTTCCAACTCTTTCAAATTGAGGATATGAGTATTTTGACTAAATAGGGAAATACATTAATGAAATTATATAAAGATTATTTCAACTTTTAAAAAAAGATCTACCCATTTTATTTCCATTCATTTTATTAAATGCACTTTGACTCTGTAAACACTTTAGCCTTCATGCAATGGGGTTTCTCATCCTTTTTCCATTCCCTTGATGACAGTGCCAGTTTGTTTTGTTTGAAAAAAATTTTAAAGTTACAAGTTCAGGATGGGGGGGGGGGAGTATGAGTTGAAAATTAAGCTTGAGCTTTCACTAGTTCAGTGTCTCACTGCTTAGTCTGAAGTTAGTATATACTTGAAAAAACATGTATTTTGTCCTTTCATATGTAAAGAGAGGTTGCTATGATCTCATCATTTAAGGGGTTTACAGACTGAAGAACTAGATTTTAGACTCATTTTCCCTCTGTTAGAAAAAAATCTGAATATTGAATTTTTCCTCCTGCCCCTCACATTTTAACATTCCCAATGGGTCTTGGTGGGAGGAAGTGATACTCAGTTACATTTATCAAATCTTGATAAATATATAATTCATTTGTGATAATGGAATTGAAAGTATGCCTACAGGTATTATGTGATCTGTGGTGTATTTACTATAACTTATGTAAAAGGAATGTAGTTTTATTTTTCAGGTACTAGACTAAGGATTTGAGGCAGTCCTTTAAAATTTTTTTCCTTGTTAGTAGTTAAATTAATTTGTAAATAATGTTATGTTTTGTTGTATACTGAATCTGAAATATTGTCTTCGGTTGAGGGGTCTCACCATTTCTTGCTGAAGACTTTCTTTTCCTGCACAGTTCTTTATAAGTGATCTGCTTCAGTACAAAATTCCTCTTGATAGAAAACCAAGTACTTAACCACATTAATGCCAGTGTTAAGTGGCACAGGGGAAGAATAATAATTGTTTGGAGGAACCTGCAAATATTTCTTCCCCATAAACAGTTCTTTATGAAGTTGTTGTTCATATTTGTAAACTTAAGTTAGTGGTGATACTAATGCCAGATTTTTGTTGTCATTATGTAGTAGTAGTAACCTAGTGTTTCACTTTTTTCAGTCTTTCAGAAATAAGATCGCCATGGCCACAGAAATTGGCTCCCCGCCCCGATTTTTCCATATGCCGAGGTTCCAGCACCAGGCGCCTCGGCAGTTGTTCTACAAAAGACCTGATTTTGCACAGCAGCAAGCAATGCAACAGCTTACTTTTGATGGAAAACGGATGAGAAAAGCTGTGAACAGAAAGACCATAGACTACAATCCCTCTGTAATTAAATATTTGGAGGTTAGTTAATTTTCAGGGTTTCTTTTTCCTTCCTTAAATTTGTGATCGTGCTTTTCAGTGTCTATAGAGAAGCCTGGAATACAGGGAGATCTACTGCTGCACTTTCAAACTGAATGTCAAATGCTTTTAAATTTGGTATAGTATAAATACAAAGGGGTTTGATCCTTGGTAATAAAACTACATGCATACATAGCTGATTTTGTAGTTTGTGTAAACACTGATTTTTATTCTGTCTTGGAATTCCAACTTGGAGTTCGATTGAGTGTTTTGTGTGATCTGACTTTTCAATGAACATAAAATCTTATAAATAATGCAATTGTTCTTATTTTTATTTTGAAATAGAAATTTCTCAAAATGGGAAATAAACCATTACCCCTTCTGCTCCAAAACCAGGGCACTATAAAAATGTTTTATCATTGTTTTACTATATAGCACTGCAATTTGCACTGTGGTCCCTGAAAGTCCCTTTCTGATACATGTTAATAGATACAGAAAAGCTTAAATGAACTTTTGTTGAAGAAATGTTTCTGTAAAAATGCTTATTTAGCTTTCCTGATAGGGTGTTATTAATTTCTTAAATACAACTGTATGATCAAGATTTACTGTACAGGTACTGGGTATTAGCTCAGAAGAAATAGAATCAAATCTGTAAATACAGGAATTGTTGGTATCTCAACAGCAACATTGCAATACCATGATGAAATTAATTTGATTTGCCTTGGCCAGTGCATGATTATAGCTAGTAGGGGTCAACAGTTGGAAGGTATTCTGAATAATAAATTTAAATGATCTTCTAAGATCTCTTTAAACACTGAACATTTAAAATATATTCTTATATTATAGGAATGCTTAAAAAAAGATTCTATTAGTAGTGGACTGGTTCTAAGAAAGTAATTTTAGTAGCTTGGGACCTTTTTTACTGTCAGAAACATACACCCTCAAACTTCTGTTTTATTAAAACAAAACAAAAAACCCAGATCTTTGTGTTTTGGATGCTTACACAAAATAAGGATATACCAGAAATCCATTTTGGTCCTAGCTTCAATACTGCTGATTTAAGTTGGCGTGATTCTATAAAATTGAGAAGTGGTTTATCTGTAATTTGCTCTTGTCTTAAGAAATTCTAGCAAGCTGTAGTAGTGTATTCTGGAGATGTTTTACCCAGAATTTTAGCTTATGTTTCTGATATGTACACAGCTTCAAACCAGTAAAGTCTACTTCACAAAGCTGAAATAATTTGTCTTAATTCATGTCAAGTGTTTTTGAAATGGTTGTGTTTGACAGCTCACAAAGTTTAACTAATTGAAGGCATTTTTATATCTTCTAAGTTTTATCCATTTGAATGCATTGTTATCTTTATGCTTCAGCTGCAGAAGCTTCCTTTTTAGCTCATGTCACTATGTGGGATTTCCAGTAGAGTTCATTGGCACAGCTCCTAATAGTGTAAATGCTTATCCTGAACATTGAAATGATTGAATGTGCTTCTTGTAGAGTACCTCTTAGCCTGGGCAGCAAAGTACCAATCATCTTTGTTACAGTGATGTGACTTATTACATAGGACTGCTCTTTTCATATTGTTAGGACGCAATTTTAAATGAGCTGCTTTAGCCTGATGAAATTAAGACTTTAAACATTCTTGAATCTTTTGCTTATGCTGTACAAATTCTGCATGTTTCCTGAGACCAAAGTCTTTTAACTGAGTTTGTTCTAAAATCCTTGGAGTGCTTTGAAATTTCCCTAACAGGCTGTCAATGTGTTCCTTATTTTCTGATGTTTAACAATGAAGTATAGTGGTGGTATGAACCAGGAATGAATAAAGAGTTGTTTTCTTATTTTCAGAATAGAGTATGGCAGAGAGACCAGCGAGATATGCGAGCAATCCAGCCCGATGCAGGATATTATAATGACGTAAGTAAAATCTTTCTATTCCCTGATGTTCTGTGGATAAAATTTGTCTAGAAAATCGGAAGGATTCTTCTGCCTGTCAGCTGAGGCTATCTTTTTGTCCACAAGAGTCCTTAAAGATATGAAGGGTATCTTCACTCTATACATTATCTTGTTTGTTGGAATCCATGTCCACCAAGAGAACCTGTAGTTGGTTAGGCTTTTAATTTTTGGACATAAGAACTCTGACATAATGCACTGAGCTTGCAAAGCTGGTTTTGAAGACGCTGGTTCTGGATGTTTGTATTGGTAAATCATGCAGACTTTTTGAACACTTCCGCTGACTTATGGTAATATTCCTGCAAATTAAAAACTCTTTTCCAGAAATGGGTATTCAGAATGTATGCTTTTCTTGCAGTTTCTGCTTAGAAGTGTCATTACTAAATCTTCTGTTTTTTCTTTCATAGTTGGTCCCTCCTATAGGAATGCTGAACAACCCTATGAATGCTGTAACAACAAAATTTGTTCGGACATCTACTAATAAAGTAAAGTGCCCAGTGTTTGTTGTCAGGGTGAGTATAGTGTTCTATTTCCTTAGTTGTATTGTCTTAATTTAAATTAGAGTGATAGTCTTAACTGAAGAAAGAAACAAGATAACAGTTAAAGCGTTTTCTGATAAAGCTAGCATGTGGAATGTGTGGACTACTGCTATGTCTAGTCTTTCTGTGAAGGGTTTTAGAAAATTAAATTATAAGGTCTGAGTACAAAATTATTGCTTTTTTTTTCCTGGACTAATGTCTTGACTCACAGGAAAAAAAGCAATTTGGTCTCTGTGCTTTTTGACTCTTACAGCATCTTTTAACAATTTTTCACGATGTCAGCAGTATTATTTAATATGGATATTGTGTGCTAGAAATGTATTGATGCCAATAAGATGTTTCTTCTCTGACTAGATTTTTTTTTCCTTGCTTTTACACTGGGCTTTGTTCTGCTGTTACAAAAGTCAAAAGCCCTCTGGCACAGTTCTGTGTTTTTGTCTATTTTGTATCCTCTCCAAAGTAATTTAGTAAATTCCAGTTCTGCAGATTCCCTGGAAGAAGCTTATGACTTATTTGGAGGATTGTGAAGAAATATTTGAATGTTATATTTGCATAGTTTAGTTGGATTTTTCTTTTGTAGTGGACTCCTGAGGGGAGACGCTTGGTCACTGGTGCATCTAGTGGAGAATTCACTTTATGGAATGGACTGACTTTCAATTTTGAAACAATATTGCAGGTAAATTAATCTGTCAAGATTTCTGTATATTTTCTTGAGGTCTCGGAGCATGTTTTGGGAACACCTCTTCACCCTGCTCATCATGGGTCTAACTGTGGTAATGGAACCCTTAAAGGTGTTTTATTTTTCTGTTCTGCTCTGACTGTGTCATTTAAAGCTTCTCATTCCATCTTCATATGCTTTACTAACTGTTCTCAAGAATATACTGAGTATTTGTAATAATAAACACTTTTGAAACAAAATGCAAATACTCTTTATTATGTAGAAGACCATTGTATGCAGAATAAGGGATTTTTTTTCCATGTTAACATCTTGAATCTAATTAGAGCATCATTGTTTTCATTTCTTTGTTGCAGCTGTTAAGTAGGAACTTTATTAACTTTTGTGTGGGTCAGATAGTATTTGAACATGTTTGCTAGAAGTTTTGTTTCTGAATTTACAGGCTCACGACAGCCCTGTAAGGGCTATGACTTGGTCACACAATGATATGTGGATGCTGACAGCAGACCACGGGGGATATGTGAAATACTGGCAGTCCAACATGAACAACGTCAAGATGTTCCAGGCACATAAGGAGGCGATTAGAGAGGCCAGGTTTATACACAATATACCATTTTCTGTAGTACCTATTGCCATGATTAGACTGTTCTCTAAGTGTATTCTGGGTGCAGAAATGCATGGGTTCTGTCAGATTCTGGGAAACTTCCTGCACCACATAAACACAATATTTTCTTTTGTTTCCACATTCTCACAGTTTTGCTGGCACCTTTCTGAATTAGTATTGTCCCAGTATCGGCCTCTGCAATATGTTAGAGATGTATTTGTCTGCCGCATTTTGCACTGGTATTCTTTTCATTTTTATATGGTGACGATGTGTATCAGTTATTCCTTTTTATACGCACTGTGTAAGACAACAATTTCATTCCAAATAAAGAATTCAGTCTTTAATAATCTTAACTGAATAAAATATAAAGCCTTCAGAAATAAAACACCTGCATAGTTCTCACAAAATAATAAAACACTAAATAAAGTGAAGAACTGCTTGGCTTGGTGAAGCCAAGACTTCCAGTAATACTAAATACCCACGCAGACTGCCACATACAGAAGTCTAATGTTTAATACTGAATGGGTTCTTCAAGCCTGAAACTGTAAGCAAGTCATTGAAAAGAAGACTGTAGGATATTCTCTTGGTTCAGTGTTGATGCCTCAGTTGTGCAAATGTCTATTTATATAAAAAAATGGAATCTAAAGTGATACTACCAGTAAGGTGTAAGATGTAAATGAAGGATGTTTCTAAAGCCAAACCTGCACATAATCTTTAGTAAGATATGGAAATGTTTTTAAAGTAAGCCTGAAGAGAAGCTGCAGATCCAAAGTGAAGCTAAAGCAGTGTTTCTTCGGGTTCAGGTGCTGGCCCTTGGTGATAAAGGTTCACTGCCACAAAACCACTTTCTTCTAAAGTCACCATTTTTCTTTGTTAGGGTGCAGCATTTTCAGCCAGAGTTTGGTTATGAGAAGTGCTTACATTGGATTCAGTTACTGTCTGACTATCATGACCATACACTGAATTTCTCTACTATTTTAAGCCCTTTCCTGATCATAAAGATCTAGGATTTCACGAGGGCTCCCTCATGGTATTTCACTGCACCAGAAAGGGAGTGCGTGCCTGTCAGTTGCTGGAGATGCTCTGGCCCTAATCACATGGCTAAATAACTCCTTGCTTTTCCAGTGACTTCCATCAAGTGATACTGACTGCTCAATCTGAATGCTGCTTCTGTGTCTGTAGGATTCTTTTCATGGTGTTGATGGGGTGTAATAAGAGGGATTTTTTCCAAATTACTTTAACAATAAGTGGTACACTTGTTTTGTATACAATTTTTTCAACAGTTAATCCAAGTAACATTTTCCTGTGATCAGCTTTCCCTTATTTTTGCTTCTCTGCTGCAAAGCACCTGTGGCTGAAGAGGAGTTTTTTCCTAAGATCTGTTCTCCTGTGCTTCTACACAGTATCACTTTCTTATGGTATTACCAAACATGAAAATCTAGGGTGACAGTTAACAAATCATATTGATGTTGCTTCTCATCCTGCAGAGAAGGCACTACCGTGTGCAGTCATAGGTAGGAATGTGCTAAGAATAAATTCCGGATTTTTTCCTCATTTGACAGGGGACTGCTATGCAATAGTAATCCTATGCTAAATTCATGTCTTGTGATGAAGTGTCATTTAGCAGGCACTGTATTCAGTCCCTATGTTCAAATGCATCCTTCAGTGTATAACACATTACAGTATAATTTTGCCCTGTCTGAGAAGCATAGATAATCTGTTAAATGCTGACTTCTTTCCCCTGCTGTGTGTCTTCATGTAACAGTTTCTCACCCACGGATAATAAATTTGCTACATGCTCTGACGACGGCACTGTTAGAATCTGGGACTTTCTACGTTGCCATGAGGAGAGAATTCTTCGAGGTATGTGCACCAAAAGTACTGATTGGGGTATTTCAAGAGGGGGAAAAACCTTTTTTAACTAGGTGTTCACAATACAGAAGTATCAGCTTGTCTACATTTTTGTATTACCTCCCTGTCTTAAATCCTCCAAACAAGTTTTTGTTTGGCTGCTGCTATAGGTGCCTTGTAATACTCAAATAGGCTGCAGTTCACAATGGCATTACTGTTTACTGTCCACTTAAGCTCAGAACAGTATAGGTGGAAGTAAGGACGTTTTTTCTACTGCTAATGTTGGTAGAAGCTGTTTCTGGATCAGGAATACATTTCTCTTTCTCCAAAGCTTAGTCTTTGTGACCACTTCTACTTCAGAACACACATCTTCATGCAGAGGATTCCATTCTTTTCATGGGAGTGCCTTCCATTGATTTCTTCAGAGGCAAGGTAGTTACTTTTTCTCAGTCCTTAAGAGGAGGAGAGCATCTAGGTAGAGGAAATGAGTAAATTTTGATCACATCATGCGTAGCACATGCAAATAACTCTAGCTTTGGTTCAGTAGTTTTCTGTCCAACATCTGCATATGCCAACTTCTGGTCCCTTTCCACTGGCCTTGTTGAGCTTTCTCCTTCGCTTGTTGCAGTCTTATTGAGCAATAACAATACCTTCTGACAACTATTCCTTTCTTGCACAAGATGTCAAAGATACATCATTTAATAGGAGACTCTATTATAAAGACTGCTGTGAGATTGGGGGTTGTAGCCATGCAGATAAACTGCAAAGAAGAAGGTATGCAATAAAAACGTGGGATTTCAGTGCTTTCCTAACTTAAGGATTTTTCTTTTTTAAAATCATGCTTCCAACTTGGACTGGCATTACATGTTTTATGAAGCAGAGTTCTCCCTGTTTCTCTTGACTCTTAAGCTCTCTTCTTACTTTACTAACGCATTACGTTGAAACACCACTACTTTGAAAAGATGTTGGGCTCCAGCATTTTTGCAACGATGATATTCTAACAGAATTTGTGCATAGACATTATGGTAGATCTGTTCTTTGCAGGAGCTGCTAAGCAAATTTCTAGGCTCTATCATTTACACCTGTTATTCTGGAAGGACCCAGATTTGGAACTGTTTTGCTTGACGCTTTACAAAAGAAATAATTCTGCACTGAACACATGCTATACCTTCCTCCAGGTTTATACTAGCTACTTATTTAAACCATGTAAAGGAAATAAGTATTGTCATCATGCAGAGTTGTCAAGGTTATAAAAATCCCTCCAACTCTTTTACATTCTTTTAATGTTCTGCATAAAGTAGGAGTAAAACATTTAATTTAGACCACAGAGAACAGAACTTCCATTACATTTCCTTCTGTTACCTTGTGTACTTCAACTTTTTGACTATATCTCAAATAGAATTATGCTTTCATTTATTGTAGTTCTACATCTTGGTATACAAGTTTTGGTTTTCAGAATAGCTCTGTAAAGAATATCTTTGCTTCTACTTACATGATGTACCCACAGTACACTTGGAAATATTTTGAAAACTTTATGTCTCTGGATAAAATAGGACATGGCAGATTATTCCTTGTTTCTGTTGTCAGGCAAAAAAAACCCCACCACCAAAAAAAAACCCCACCCCTAAAAAACCCACCACCCCTACCACCCAAAAAAAACCCCAAACACACCACCAAAAATTCCCCCACCGCCCCCAAACCAAAAATAATACCCAAACCCCTGAGTGTTGGGAGTAGTAGAATGTTTCTGCAAAACATGCAAATTTGATATAGTTTTGGTCCTTAGCACTATTGTTAAATATGATCAGAAGACACGTTTGAAAGAGCTGTATGGGTAACACTTAAATAGCTTTCTTGGTGGAAAATACAAGCTTTCATTTTGTTATTTGGAGTTTACAGCTTACGGCTTTAGAAAACTGATCTTCAGCTTTTTGCTTCTCTACATGCATTCTGTTTTTACATATTTAGGAGTGTGACCTGTAATACTTTGCTTAGTACAGCCTTCAAAATAACTTCAAAACTTATGCCATTACAGTTAGTGATCTGTAAATTCAAAATTATTGTGGCACTTCATCAAAAATATATTTCATTATGTAGAAGAAGTGTTTAGGTTAAATACCACGCGAAGGAATAATTTTTATTTCCTGTTTTCACAAACCATGCTTCAGCTATTCTGGTTAATACTGGTGCTGTGATGTTGAAGGGACTCTACACTCTAATCTTAAATCCAAAGCTTTTCTTAGTGTGTTAAGGTATTCTTCAGGTTATCACACCGAGTTTTTAGAAAATCAAATTGAACTCTCCTTTTACAGCCAAGATGTGTTCATAAAAATGGTTATCACTCACAGGGATACAATATCAGTATGTCATTATTCCTACTGATTTTTCAGTAACAAAGAGCATTTTGTTTAAAAACAGACTTGAGGACTTTAATGTTAAGGAGTGTTTTTAAAGCAATTCTATAAAGAACATTAAAGGTACAGGGAATAGAAAGGACAAAATTCAGTGGACTTGTCACGGATGCCTTTGTACTGGAATGAACTAATACTTATTTCTATTATTTGATGAAATGGTTCTCTATCTAAAATTGGTCTGAAGGAACAGTTCTAGTTCTGCATTCCTAAGAGGACTGAAAAAACAAATTGAAAGTGGTACATTACATAGGACAACTTCCTAAGCTTTTGCTGGAGTTCTTTCAGCTGTCTACAGTAGGCTACACAATTTTTTCAGCAGTTAAACCATGAATTTGTGTGAGAAACTCTTATTAACTGTGTCCAGCTTCCTTCTAGTTTGTCAAAACAAAAATAAACAAGACACTCTAAATTTTGTTTTTCATACATAATGCCAGTAGTTCGGGATTTTTTTTTTCTTTAATATGACTAAGAGTCCCTTTGCTGCCCAGCTTTTCACTGATTTATGTTGCTTTGCTGCTATGTATGCCATCATGGATTTCCACAGCATAGTAGGTGGAGTTTGGGTGTTTTGTTAGAAGTATGTGCAAATTTATCATTCTCCTTTTCAATACTGCAAAGAAATAAATAGGATTTAAATTTTCCATTTCTTGGGGAACCATCTTTAAGTAATTCATCTTCAAACGAAATATCTTGGAAGAACTCGAAGGTGGGGGAAATGGCATTGTCGTAATCACTTACCTGCTTGCTTTCCCTCAGTCAGAATGCTGTCTGTCTTGAAGTAAAGGTGCTGTCTTCCACATTCTGCACTGGTAGTTTCTGGCCTGTGTTAATTGCTCTAACATTACCATCTTGATGGTGGTAACAAGTACAGTTTGGTGCACTTGCTAAAATACACTGGTAGGAATACAACTGATGTTAAAATTGAAATGGTTTTGTTAAAATAACAAGACATGGAAAATGGTCTACAGTATAGAATTATGCTGTTTTCATGTCAGTAATCTGTTACTCTTAAAGGCATTTCCAATAATGGCATTTACAACAAAAATTATCAGGTCTTTAGTCTAAACAGTTGCAGTGAAGTTAATGGCAGGACTCGTGTAAACAAACCCCATTTCTGTAAGAATGTACACACTGATGGCATTTAATAATGCTAATTACATCTAGGGGGAAAATGTATGCAGTAAAAGCTTGATGTCCCTTTATTTCTATTGAGAAATTAATGTTATCTGTGACTTGAGTGGTGACTGAATCTCTGAATATTAAGTCTGTGCTAATGTGTCCCTGAGAACATTTTGGGTAGGTCATTATGAAACACATGATTCCTTCATTCTCAGCATGAAATCATGGGCTAGGAGGCTACAAACACGTTTCAATATTGTCAATTCCACTGTCCTTCCTTCTCCTTCCTTTCACAGTCACACACAAAATCCAGTAGAAATGTGTGCTTGGGAGGACTGTAAGGTTTTCATTCTGAAATCTAGATGAGCTATTTGTTCCCAGGACTTCAAAGGTTGCCTGGCTTAAGTAGGTCTGTTGGGGAGGGTGACTTTACCCAGCTCTCTGAAGGACAGTAATCCAGGATTTGGTAAAATATTTTACAGATAACGTTTTTGTATTTTCCGGCTGTAAAATAGAGTAATACACTAAATTATCTTCTAGCCAACAAGGTAGATTTGCAAAAGAATTTTCTTATCCTAACTTGAACAGTTAAAACCAATCATGATTCCTTTACATTCTGTCCGGATTTAATATCTGCAGTTTATAACAACATAATTTCTTACTAATATAGATTTATTTGTAAGGAGAGGTTTTTCTGCCTGTTTTTAACATTGTTCTGCCTGGAATTTCCTGTTCCTGCATAATCCAGTGCAAAAACTCATCACCTACAAAATAACATGTATGTGTGTACATGCATGCAGAAGTCACAGCAATCACAGTAAACTTATTTTTCATCTGCTCACAAGTTCTGAAAAAGTGTCTCCACAGTTAATCATATTGAAATAATGGGAGAATTTTTTCTTTCTTCCTGCCTTCCTTCTGCTCAATTTCTGGATCATCTTTAGCAAAAAAAAAAAAATTACCATGAAGTGTCGTTAGTTGTTTAAATTTATTGTATGGTTTGTGTACTCTGCACTTTTTGTGTGAAAGTGAAGCATCTCTTCAAAGTTTTTGATAGCCGGTTTCTCAGTCAAATAGCAAATCCTGTACTTAAAATTAGAGAAGATGTGTTCGAGCAGTTAAAAGGAACCTGAGAACCAGAACTACATCTTCAGTTTGATCCTTCACTTTTAAACATACTTAGTAGCTAGCTCTTAGCCTTCAAAGCAGGTAGCTTCTAAAACTGTTACCTTTTCCTGGAATGGAATAGAACTCTATATTGGATAATTTAAAAGGAAAAAAAACCCCACCTCCTAATGTTGCTGTTTCTGGTTTTCTTCCCTTTATGTGAGGTTTTTATTTTGTTTGACTCAGTAGGGAGAGAAAACCAAGTAAGTTGAAGCAATGCATTTATGTTCGTACTGTGTTTCTTGTAAGGAGATGTGGTGTTTAAACCTTCAGTTTTTCATGGGGGCATGCTGCTTTCTACTGTTAGGATTT